GCAACCAATCAAATCAAACAATACATCACAAGACTATTTTTAACTGGAAACTGCAGGATTTTGTTTGAGACTTGAATATTACTGAAATTGATGCATAGTGTCTACTCATTTTTGAATTCAGTGTTTGCAATCTGTGTACAAAAAGTATTCTATTTTTTGTACACAGATTTCGAACACTGAATTCAAAAGTATTCAAAAGATTCTACTTTCAGTGAATTTTACCACCGGAGTTCAAACTTATACATGCAAAGACTAATGCTATAGGTAGCTAAAAAAACAATACACTCACAACCAGCAATTTGTAAATTCAGAAAAAAATGACATCCAGTATTATAAGAATCATTTGGTAGGGGGAGGGGGACAAATAATGGACATTGCAAATTCTTCATATTAAAAAGAACATCAGAAAACATAATATGATACTAAACTAAAAGAAATCTTGATTGGTATGAAGTTATGAAGTGATTAAGTAACCCCATCCCCCCTTTTGTCTTTCACAAATCACTGTATGCAAGTCCTGAATGCCTTAAATCTTACCCCACCCCAACCCAACATATAAACCTTCATTTTCAAGTAATGACTGGGATATGTGAACTGCACTGCTTGAACCCATATTTCTTACTGATAAACAAAACATTTGCACATACCATTGAATTCCTTACAAACATTTTTTACATTTAACAGGTCTTTCAAATGAAACGGGACATGTTCAAATCTTTATGAAATTTTCTTATCTTAAAACAGGGAGGAGGGGCAGGTATCAAACAGAGAGGAGGGGCATTAGTCAAACAGGAAGGAGGGGCATGGGTCAAACAGGAAAGAGGGGCATGTGTCAAACAGGAAGGAGGGGCATGGGTCAAACAGGAAAGAGGGGCATGGGTCAAACAGGAAAGAGGGGCATGTGTCAAACAGGAAGGAGGGGCATGAGTCAAACAGGAAGGAGGGGCATGGGTCAAACAGGAAGGAAGGGCATGTGTCAAACAGGAAGGAGGGGCATGTGTCAAACAGGGAGGAGGGGCATGTGTCAAACAGGAAGGAGGGCCATGTGTCAAACAGGGAGGAGGGGCATGTGTCAAACAGGGAGGAGAGGCATACGTCAACCAGGAAGGAGGGACATGTGTCAAACAGGGAGGAGGGGCATGGGTCAAACAGAGAGGAAGGGCATGTGTCAAACAGGGAGGAGGGGCATGAGTCAAACAGGGAGGAGGGGCATGTGTCAAACAGGAAGGAGGGCCATGTGTCAAACAGGGAGGAGGGGCATGTGTCAAACAGGGAGGAGAGGCATACGTCAACCAGGAAGGAGGGACATGTGTCAAACAGGGAGGAGGGGCATGGGTCAAACAGAGAGGAAGGGCATGTGTCAAACAGGGAGGAGGGGCATGAGTCAAACAGGGAGGAGGGGCATTTTAAGGAGATACATTTACATTTATCTCATCAATTGATTTTACAGATAAATTTCCCAGTACAAATGTTATCCATGACACCCTAAAACAGATCTACCAATGTAGGTTGTATCACTACAGCACACTTCCTCTCGACAACAATGTATAACACACAAATTCTATTAACATGTAATGGCAAGTACCTTCAGGCATTGTTAACAAAATGGTAGAGTTCCACACCTGGTGTAATACATTTAAAATAACTACAACGATAACATATAAGTATTTAATGCTGAAACCTTTCTCTACAAGGTGGAAAGAAAGGCATCCAAATAACAATAAGGATGGCAGTTCCTTCTAACATATTTGTAGCGCAAACATATATGTACACACATGTTATGTAGAAATACATTTACAACCATGAGTATGTATGAACATACACATACACGCATACACATTCAAATGTGTATGTACAAACATACATGTACCAACATATGTGTACTAACATTTGTATGTATAAACATACACATGTGTATAAACAATTTCAAATGACCCTGATAATGAAGCTGTTATTGACAGTTTAGACTTTGACAATGTGTGGCCTTGACCGGACATGGAGGACATGAATAAGGTGATCATCGGACTTGGTGACTATGGAAACATGAACACAACAACAAAAGCTCTAGACACCTATCATTTTTTTTCCCAAATTCTAAACATTAACATCGGGTTGAATTATCAAGTCCCTTGCTTTAATTCTCATAATTTACCATTTAAAAAAAACTTCTTTTTTTTTTTGAAACTTGCACTGATCTAACATGGCAAAATGAATGCTAATTCAAATCATAAACATTTATTTTTAAAATTGATGTTTTATTAAAACTCAAGTCCTTTGTTTAAACTATCATAACTGACCATTTAAGACAGAAAATATAATTTTTGTTTGAGACAAGGAAACCTGTAAAAGTAGGGAAGCACTGATGTAACATGGCACAATGAAGACTAATCAAGCAGCTGATAAAAAGCTACAAATATATCTATATACTACAAAAATAGATGCTATAAACAGATTTCATTTGATCCTTTTATATAAGGTATACAACACAATCCTTTCAAATCATCCCCTTAAATGGAAGTGTTTGCTCTGTCAACAATATCAATGTAATAGCTTTCTTATGTTAAACACAATTTATAATTCATATTTAGTATAGCTAAATTTTCAACAGATTTATTTTTTTAATTTTCACCAGGATATTTTTTTTTTAAAAATCACGAAATATTACATTCACTAAACATATACCATTTATTTAAGTAGAAAAATTTTTTTTTTTTTCAAATCTATCACAAATCACAGGACTTTGAGACATATTTAAAAAGAGCCCAGAATTCTTTATCTTTTTTCTTATGATTGCATCAAAGATGTATTCTCTATATAGTTTCACACTTTAGATTCCTTTTCAAAAAATTCTGATTCCCTCCTTTCCAATATGAAAATTTACTCAGCAGTTAAACAATCTATACAGCAGTACAGAAAAAATTCAAACAACCTCCTAGATACCATTCAGCATTTATAATCATATTGAAAACTAAAGGACAATATATTTCTTAAATTAATATTCACAAATTTTAAATGTAAACAATTATTTAGGTTTCAATCTAATACTTTGGATCCCTTTTGAAATAATCAGAAATATCAAATATCTACAATTATCTAAGAAATAATTGGTGTTTCACCTTTAGGTGATTTTACAAAATACTAACATTTGGATATATTCTCCTAATCTAAGAAATTATTTAAATCACAAGACTATAAGTCAAGAATTCTATACTTACATGTATATCAACATTGTAGTGACAAGATTTTACACATTTCCAAAAAATTATTATATAATTGAAAATGTTCAATTAATCAGAAATTGTAATAATGAAAATTTGTTTGCTAATAGTTTTTTTCTTCAAATTCTAATTTACATAGCAATAAAGATAAAAGTTTTGAATCAGATGAATTCACCATCTCCAGAAGAGATAAACTCCTCTAACAACCTCCCAATCTCTTTATCTCCATGAAAACTGAACACAGTGAATATATATGTTGTAGTTTTTCGACAAACTTATCAAAATACTACAGAGTGGCATAATTAATATTTCTATGAAGATGAAAGACCATTACAAAATTTCAAGTTTGGAGAAATATCAATATATCAAATATATTCAGGAGACATGTAAAACTGGAACTTGATCTGGTAAAACCATAGTTTAATTATATAGCAAATTCTACAAACTTTACTGCCAGGAAAAAAAATAATCATTTTGATGGATACACGTACATTTGAAAGTCATTCTTTCCATTATGAGAGCTTAAACACACATCTGAGAACTAAAACCCAACATGCAATTCTTTCTTGATTAAAATCTGAAATGAAAATGAAATATGCTGCAATTGCACAGTTGTCTCCCTTTAGTTAGAAACACAAGCTCTCCAATCTGCAATTATATAATTCTTGTAACATAACAATTAAAAAAATTAAAACCATTAAAACTGTATATGACAAAGATGATTTTCAACAATTATATGTACATAAATGTATATCATCTTAATAATACACTATTCCTTTGAAAATAATATGTTACACAGAAGAGATACAAATCCTTTTCTTTTCATGATCTAGGTTCAGCTCTATTTGATTAAAAAGATATCATAAAATCATACTTAAAATGTTAAAAAGTAAAAAATCCTCTGATTTTATCCACATCTGGTATGTAGTGATCTCCTGTATATAACACTTGGTTAGAGTACTTGTAAATCTCAATACACTATATTTATTATGTCTTTCATAAATTAATTCTCAGTTTGCCATTTATATCTGATATCGTTTATTTAGTACACCTGGATATAAAGTCTTAATTAAAAATAAGTTAATTGCATAGAAATCCTTGATTTTAATGATATATCTTCCTCAAAAGACAGCTGTGTAAAAACACCCTGTGCTTTCTCGTGTTTATGATGTGACCAACCACCTGTCTAGTCTTTGATATCATTCATGATTATGCCATGTTAAAAAAGTTCCTAAATTTTCCTGTATACACTCTAATATTGATTTATGACATGAAAATTATTTTTCCTTCATTAAAAAAATTCAATTTTTACACAACATTTATTAATTAATCAATTGTTAATTAATTTCCAACAAACATGTATATGTTTAGTAAGTCCAAAACCTTTCCCAACAGGAAAAACATGACTTGTCATAGTAATTCTCTAATACATTCCTATCATAAAATCTAAAAAATGTCATGAGTATTTATGAATTGGACAAAAGAACCCACATGGATCAAAACAATACTTGATACTCAACAGAACACATCAGAAAACACAAAATCCCCCTGTAATGATAAAAATTTATATAAAAGTACCAACATGATACAAAACTCTTGACTTCTTTTCTGGTTTCCCTGGGAGTATAATTTCCTGTACATATATATACTTTTATAAAAATATCAATTGATACAAAAAACCTGATGGTGATATCCCTACGATGTACTTTTTCTGACAGAACATGTATATTTTACTATAACAGATGGAAAAGTTTCAAAAGAGTAATATTCATATTCTGATCTTGATCATATGGTTTATGTTTATGTAATTTTATATGAAATATGATGAAGACAATCATATTGAGCAATAATCAAAAAGTTCACGGTTTAAAAAGAACACCATTTCATAATACAAAACGTGTACTCTTCATTGCTGATATCATGAAATCTTTTCTTTTTCTAGTTTTCGTTGGTAGATATCAAGATCCTTATATTGACATAAAGATTATCTCCCTTTAGATTTCACCTGTTTCACTAGGTGTCACTCGAGTAGCGAGACCTCCCGGGACCAAAATTGTAGTTCTCTACAAAGGTTCCTGTTGGCCGATACTGCAACACACAAGCATAAAATAGTGAGTTTTAATAAATGCATGTACCATATATATATACCAAAACAAAACTAAACCCAATATTATTGAAGTTTTTCAACATTCAAGCTCAAATGAATGTCATGTATATATCACTTTTATACACTCAAGGCAATTAGTGCAGCAATAAAGTTTTTATATAGTATGTGCAAACATTTCTGGAACATCATAATGTCATCTAAATGTTTGTTTCTCTAGAGGATCTTGTATTACGTGAGCAGGGAGTTGAGCTTTGAAATGAAAATGAAAGTGATTTTGTAACATTCCAACTGAAAAACATTTCAATTTCTATATTAAAGTAAAAATAATGTCTGCTAATAAGCCCATCCAAACACTGCTAAGTATACCAACAAATTTTACTTTATCATACTGTAATATGCCTATCTGTATCTACTTTGTTCAGTGTAATCAACTGACATTTGTCAGCAGTACATGTGATGAATTGGGTCACCTGGCCATATTCCAAGATAAAAACAATATATTTTTGCAAATACATTAACTATATATGTACAATACAACAAAGGGTTGACTTCAATTTTTTTTTAAATGTATCCTCCAGAATTATGTGAATGTGACTGACTATAACCTCAATTCTACTTCAACGTTCCAACATCCAAGATAAACATTCTTCTTACCATTACCAAAGTAACATAACAGAAGCTTTCAATGCAAACTTCAAAATTTCAATAGGATATTGAAATAATAAATACTGGAATAATACAAGGCTGCCTTTCAAAACACCCTGGTTTATTCTATGGTCTGAAGTCTATATTATGTAGGATAAACTGGAGGCAGAGTGTCGTCTCCTGGATTCTTATCAGAAATTTATCCATACAGCTTCTGGGTGCTTAACAATGTCTTTGCAATTTACATAATTTTGTATCTCTGATAAGGCATGCCTGTTGACAGAAAAGATCTTTGAGTTGATGTATTTATTATCATTTAATTCCTTTGACTATTCTATAGTGACTGATAAACGATGTGTTTGTAATATATAAGCCTATAGATTACAAAACAGGAGATTAACCCTGATACTGTAGGCTCTCCGGAGGGTAGTGACTCTGGACATACAGAGACCTGATACAGGCACTCAGGAGGGTAGTGACTCTGGACATACAGAGACCTGATACTGTAGGCAATCAGGAGGGTAGTGACTCTGGACATACAGAGACCTGATACTGTAGGCTCTCCGGAGGGTAGTGACTCTGGACATACAGAGACCTGATACAGGCACTCAGGAGGGTAGTGACTCTGGACATACAGAGACCTGATACAGGCACTCAGGAGGATAGTGACTCTGGACATACAGAGACCTGATACTGTAGGCAATCAGGAGGGTAGTGACTCTGGACATACAGAGACCTGATACTGTAGGCTCTCCGGAGGGTAGTGACTCTGGACATACAGAGACCTGATACTGTAGGCACTCAGGAGGGTAGTGACTCTGGACATACAGAGACCTGATACTGTAGGCACTCAGAAGGGTAGTGACTCTGGACATACAGAGACCTGATACAGGCACTCAGGAGGGTAGTGACTCTGGACATACAGAGACCTGATATTGTAAGCACTCAGGAGGGTAGTAACTCTGGACATACAGAGACCTGATATTGTAGCCACTCAGAAGGGTAGTGACTTGGACATAGAAACCTGATACAGGCAATCAGGAGGATAGTGACTATGGACATACAGAGACCTGATATTGTAGGCACTCAGGAGGATAGTGACTCTCGACATACAGAGACCTGATACAGGCACTCAAGAGGGTAGTAACTGGACATACAGAGACCTGATACTGTAGGCAATCAGGAGGATAGTGACTATGGACATACAGAGACCTGATATTGTAAGCACTCAGGAGGGTAGTGACTCTGGACATACAGAGACCTGATACTGTAGGCAATCAGGAGGGTAGTGACTCTGGACATACAGAGACCTGATACAGGCACTCAGGAGGGTAGTGACTCTGGACATACAGAGACCTGATACTGTAGGCACTCAGGAGGATAGTGACTCTCGACATACAGAGACCTGATACAGGCACTCAAGAGGGTAGTAACTGGACATACAGAGACCTGATACTGTAGGCAATCAGGAGGATAGTGACTATGGACATACAGTGACCTGATATTGTAAGCACTCAGGAGGGTAGTGACTCTGGACATACAGAGACCTGATACTGTAGGCACTCAGGAGGGTAGTGACTCTGGACATACAGAGACCTGATACTGTAGGCACTCAGGAGGGTAGTGACTCTGGACATACAGAAACCTGATATTGTGGGCACTAAGGAGGGTAGTGACTCTGGACATACAGAGACCTAATATTGTAGGCACTCAGGAGGGTAGTGACTCTGGACATACAGAGACCTAATATTGTAGGCACTCAGGAGGGTAGTGACTCTGGACATACAGAGACCTGATACTGTAGGCACTCAGGAGGGTAGTGACTCTGGACATACAGAGACTTGATACTGTAGGCACTCAGGAGGATAGTGACTCTGGACATACAGAGACCTGATACAGGCACTCAGGAGGGTAGTGACTTTGGACATTTAGAGACTTTGGAGAAATTGGCAAAGTTAGAATAATAAAACATGTTTTTAAAATCATATTAAAATAGCTAGTCATCATTCTATGAAACTTACCACTGGAAAATCTTATTGTAGAAAAGGGAGAATGAAAAAAGGCAAAGGGGAACACCTTTTAGGTTGAATGTGGTACAGTGTAAAACTTTTCACTTTCTGCACATTTGTATGTACTATCATACTGAAATGACTACCAGGTATTTAAGTTTCGGACATGACAGGTCCTGTTTTAATCTGTAAGACTTTATGAAGGCAGTCAATCAATGGAAGAAATTAATAGTTTAGAAAAATAAATATAAATTGTACATGCATGTCAAGGTTAATTACAATTCAATAATATTTACAAATGAATATGTTTACCCACAGGTTTACCTCTGGGTAAATTCATGCACTCATGCTTGTCACTATATACATAATACCATACCATATTCAATTTATACAGACCTGTCCAATCTGACCACATAATATCCTGATATATTGTCTAATCTGACACAATTCTGACATCCCCAGAAAACAACCAGTACATGTGTATAGGGTGTCAGATTGGCCAGGTGATCTGAATTTCAATAATTCTTTACTATACACAAGGAGTCAGATTCACCTTTTAGAATAGTGAAAGAAAACAAATATAAAAATGTCACCATACATGAAAGAATTGAGTCATTTCCTCAGCATTCTTAATTGCACAATGTTATACAGCAATAAAATTGTTGCTTCTATAATGTACAATACTCATTCCTATCTTTTTCTTCCAATCAGCCCATTTCTTATAATAAGGCCACCCAAAATCTGTTGCAATTCATTATTACATGATAGTGCATTGTCATGTTATACTGAATTGTACTTGTTTTACCAGTATTCTAATATTAGCTCCTTTTATGTCTAAGACATTGCGCTAATTCAAGTGCAGCGCTAAAATTTCTCCGTCTTGTCAAAGGGCATAAAAATATGACACATTCATGTACAGCAATTTAGTATTGAACACTGTTAAATAAATATACTGTATTACTATTGGTCAGTTAGAATGGTCACTTCACTTGTATTGAATAGCATGTTTCTTAATACGCACAGCTTCATGATAGTTTACCTGTACCGTTACATGGTTCCTGTAAAAAGGACATCTTGAAAACTATGGGGTGCATCATAAAAGTGCATTAATGGTAACTTAAAAATTATTCTTGCCATTTGCACTAATTGTGCTAATATGACTACCACTCCTCACAGCATTAAAACAAGAATGGGCTAAGCTAGATACATATATAGTAAACCCTCCGCCCTAATTTGAATAAGATTTTGTATAGGTTCTATGAGCTTATTACAAGATACATATGGTATATTAATGTGTTAGTCATGGTCTTAGCACAAATATAAAGGCTGAACCTCACACCATGGTATACCACATGTATGTTATGGAAACAAAGACAACACTTCAAAAGCACACAGATGCATATTTCAATACAAATGTATAGTGAAACAGCAAATCCCTACTAGCATTCTGTTTTTTGTCTTTTTAGTTTTTTTTCACACTCACAAAAAATCGACCACACATTTTTAAGGCTGACAGACTACTATCCATAAATCCTTACCAGTAAAACAATGAAAACAAAATGCACTTTAAAGGGAGATAAGCAGGTCATAATTTTAAGGAGGAAAAAGATCAATATAATATTCAGAGAAAACAAGAATCTATCAAAAATGTTTTCAGAGAGAAAATCCCACCACCATGAGTCTTTAAATCAATGATTCCATCTTTATACCAAGCTTTAGTATGATTTGATAGCATAATGAGCCTGTCCATCTTTCTAGAATATTCCCATCACCTTCATTAGTATACACGGTTATAAGGATAATACAGTACACAAGAGGATGGTGGAAAATTTATGAAAAACAAATTGCAGACATTTATAAGTCATTTCTAAAGAATACAGCCCCATTGAACCTTGCATGGCATAAAAGAAACTTTGTTTCTCTTTAAACAACTTTCACATCAAACTGACTTCCTGACTGCCAACATTTATGGCAATTTATGCTAGATAAATGCAGGTCTTATAAAAATGTTATACAGTATCATTATACTATTACTACAGGTATCAACAAGCTGGACACTGGTGCAGAAGTTCCCACTATAGGCCACAAAGATACTACAACATATAGGTGAATCACCAGGGCATAAATAAACAACATGCAGACAGGCAGGTGTACAAACTTACTGCTGGTGGAGGTGTCTCAGCCAGAGGTCCGTGCATAGGAAGTACTTCACTTTCAGGGCCCTGGTTCAAACTGCTGAATACAAACACAGAGTGTGGGTGAATGAACCCTACACCATAGCCCCCTTGTCCCGTGTACAGAAAACATTCCCTACACCATTACCATATCTGTGTGTGTAGATATATACCTCTACTATACATTACTGATGTGATGAATCCTGTACTATATACCTTCAACCGATCCATACAGTAATGCATGGTCTGTGAAGAGTCAAACTATACTTAACATCTCTTTTATGACTGGTTTTGCCTTTCAACAGCTTACTAGTAAAAACTGTAATATATTTGTGTAAGAAAGAAAAATAAATATTTAAAAAACCTACAAATCTGCTTATGTTTATAGTCCCACCAACTACCACTGTATGCAATTCCTCGCCTATATGTGTGATTTATATTTATGTTTAAAAAACCTGAATCCATACCATTTACAAAAATAATTTTCAGGCCTTTATCAAGACATTAAAAATTTGTTTCCATCATGTTGACATAAATCCTGATAGGTTAGACCTAAAGAGCCATATCACACTTAACATCCATCATGTGTGTTTACCATAAAGTTATAAAGAATACAGAGACACTATTAGGAAGTGAACAGCACCCCATGAATGTTTGTAAACAAGGCACTACAAAGGAAAACATACAGGAAAACTTGGCACTGAATTCCCCAGGAAAGTAAATGTGCAGATCAATGATGATTGGTTCATACAATATAACAACTTTGTAATGACCTTGACCTATATAAATTTGTATAAACTTGACCTACAACAACGTTCTAAGTGTCTCGGTGGTAAGCCTTTATGTACAACAGTGAAATTAAAATTTCAGTTTAAAGGTATTATGCAGTTTGATTTGTTGGTTGTATGTCAAAGTCATACCAATTTTGTCCAATATGGCTTTTCCTACACATGGGCAAAACTCAAAATATTAGGTTTTCCTACACATTGGTAGAACTCAAAACAATAGCTTTTCCTACACATGGGCAAAACTCAAAATATTAGGTTTTCCTACACATTGGTAGAACTCAAAACAATAGCTTTTCCTACACATGGGTAGAACTCAAAATATTAGGTTTTCCTACACATGGGTAGAACTCAAAACAATAGCTTTTCCTACACATGGGTAGAACTCAAAAAAATTGCTTTTCCTACAAATGGGTAGAACTCAAAAAATTGCTTTTCCTACACATGGGTAGAACTCAAAAAAATTGCTTTTCCTACACATGGGCAAAACTCAAAATATTAGGTTTTCCTTCACATTGGTAGAACTCAAAACAATAGCTTTTCCTACACATTGGTAGAACTCAAAACAATAGCTTTTCCTACACATGGGTAGAACTCAAAACAATAGCTTTTCCTACACATGGGTAGAACTCAAAACAATTGCTTTTCCTACAAATGGGTAGAACTCAAAAAATAGCTTTTCCTACACATGGGTGGAGCTCAAAACAATAGCTTTTCCTACACATGGGCAAAACTCAAAATATTAGTTTTTCCTACACATTGGTAGAACTCAAAACAATAGCTTTTCCTACACATGGGCAAAACTCAAAACAATAGCTTTTCCTACACATGGGTAGAACTCAAAACAATAGCTTTTCCTACACATGGGTAGAACTCAAAACAATAGCTTTTCCTACACATGGGTAGAACTCAAAACAATAGCTTTTCCTACACATGGGTAGAACTCAAAACAATAGCTTTTCCTACACATGGGTGGAGCTCAAAACAATAGCTTTTCCTACACATGGGTGGATCTCTAAACAACAGCAGAACTGTGAATTATGAATTACATTATGTGAATGTCTTCAATCCACATCCAGAGACCTAACAAACATAAATTCTCTTGAATGATGCTTTTTGCGAAAGACAATTGTGAAATGGTTGATAATCATATCACATACACACACACATACAAACATAAACACACAGAGGTATTCTTATTGGTGTCCCTAACCCAAACCACACATATACAGTTGAAAATGAATATTAAATGTAGATCAATCACACATGTAATCATAGAAAAGTCAATATTAGTGAAATTGATCTTAAAATGTACAACACACAAAAACAAACAAACAGTTTACATTACAACACTTAATTAATGGTATTAATTTCTTCATATCTTGAATACAAAATTCATGCATTCCATGTATATGTCCAAGAGTTTTGGTGTGTGAATTGGCCTGAAGACCGAAGTAGTAATCTAGTACTGTTTTACACTTAATCGTAGAATATGTAATATCCCACAGTAAAACAAAAGATATCACTGAAAAGTAGCAATGAATTTCAAAGTAAAAAATGAATAATAAAATAGATAGACAGGGGTGGGAGAGGGGCAAAGCAACCCTCAGTTGGCAAGTTTTGGTGCAACGCATCCGGGAACTGCCATAGATAAAATGTCCTCCCGGAAAAGTAGAATAAGGTTTTAGAGTGAAGACAACATGGTCAACTCCTCTCAAATGCAAGATTTAGAAAGTTGTTGTTTGGAAACAAGAGATTTGAATTAGAAAAGACATGATCTAGACTTTTTCTCTGTATCTGCATCAGTAGTAGTACCCATATTTCAATATGTAATCACCACACAATATAAATTGTGTTTGATTATCATACAGATGATGTAAGGTTTTACAGAGAAATCAGAGAAGGGTCAAATGGCCCAAATAAAGCAGAACCCAGACCTCAAATATACATTTATGAGGTGTAATAGACAATGGAAAAGGTGTTATTCCATTACATCATGATGAAATGCACACAATACAATTTGACACAGAAAATTTTGATTGTCATCCATAGCTTGTGACACATGTTCATAATCTTGACTACAGGTTCCAGATTTTGATGCATTAATTATACCCACTGGTATCACCCCCTACTGGTATCTTTGGTCATAGTAAATTTTTCAAATTGTATGAAAAAGTTTTTTTTGACTTTGAGATTCCATGCATGAGTGAAAAGCTTTACAGAAAATTTAAGTAACTTATTTATATCAAAGCCAATAACATGATTGTCTCCAAACTATACACAGAATTCGTATTTTAAAAATAAAACAATCAATAAAATTGGAAAAGGTTTTCTTAGAATTTTTTCAACTAACTTAAGCCAAATTATTCATGTTTTCAATTGCTTTCATAATCATTAATTTTTTCAACTATTCATTTCCTTTGAATACAGGAAACCTTTTTTTTCTGGACAACAATTTTTGTTTCCTGTTGAATCTAAGTGATTTGATAAATAGCTGAAAAAACACATTCACATCCCATTCACAATTAACTGGTTAAATTGTACACAAGAGAACAAACCAAATTGTTTGTCCACAGTCTTCATACAAGATAGTCATGTTATTTCAACATATAACAGCTACCTACCAGCTGTTATGTACATAATAGACAGCTTTTGAAAACAGTTGTGCTGGTATGTTATGCTCAACTCTCCCAGCCTTCAGGGCATTTAACATTTTCTGTAAAGCTTTTGGACAAAGTTCTGATGATGTGTGGGTTAAGAATATTACAACACATACTATGAGCGGTCGTTAGGAAAACTGTTGGATGACCCGATGTCCGGGTGTATACTGCCATACCCATTGTAAGGTGGAGGACGCGGACAAAATGGATCAGCATCGTCCACTGGTCGATAGCCACGCCTGCAAAAATACACAAGACATTCTAAGTTTCAGACTGGAATTACTAGCCCAACTTCAAATAAAATATTTTATACATATAAGTATTTTATCACTGTGAAAATTCTCACAAATCTGCACAAAAAATCACCATGCAAGAAAGGGTGATTGCAGTAAAACATATATCCCACCCCTGGACTCCAGGGTTTGTATAAGGATACCACTCCTAGAAGTTAACTGATGATTTGTTTAGAGGTAATTGGCAGTACACCACATCATGGATAGAATCATTTATTTTTGAGTCATGGGGCCAAGAAGATGTCTTGCTAGAACAACACATCCATACCAAGTATATATGTGCATTGTACTCTGAAATTATATACAATGAAGCAATTATTTTTTAAATATACATTGCAAAATTGATATTACCGTGGAAATGTCCATACTGAGAACAGATGAATGAAAGGAAAACTTTAGTGTGTATAATAAAGGTTATGATACATACTTCTTGCCAATGAGTCTCCAGAACCTCGGTAGAAGACACATAGTGAGGATGAACATCAGACCAGACACGGGCAGACACAGCAAAATAAATATGATACCAAGCCTGTTTATAAATAAAACAAAATTCACAAATCAGTCTTGCAAAATCAATACAATACAACTATCATGAACTTATACATGTAACAGGGAGCATAACAAATTAAACATACTTTTCATATTTCATGATCTAACAGTTTTTGAAAATTTTTAATCAATCATTTCAATGAGGTACATAAAAACATACTATTTTATGAATTCTTACAGAAATGTCACTCAAGTTATTTAATACAACACTGTGTAGTTATTCAAAATATGTAATATGTAGACACATTGTGTTCATACCGACACTTGTTCTGGTAAATGACCAGTATTTTATAGGAGTGCAATGATTGGGCTTTTCATTCATGGATTTTAACAAATTAACAGAGATTTGAAGCTCAGCAGGGGTTATTAAGACATGGCAGTACTGGGACTTCAATCTTATGGTTTTCAAAAACTGATTATTTGGTTTGCATTTGATTTGGTAGATAATTAGAATATATGTACCACCTGAATCAGTATCTAAATCAGCTGTTTACCTTTAGCGGACAGATACATGGATTAATAATACCAACGGAACCACTGGAGAAAAAACGCTACCAACTCATGGTTTTATAGTATGGTATTGAATGATTACTAAAAGTACTTTCACAAATTTCACCAAAGTACATTCATATAACAGGTGGAAGAGATGGTACATACATGGAAGTGTTACAGATACCCTGGACAGCCTTGACATAGTCCTTATGTATTTCACGACAGTCTAAGTCCTCTGCCAACACCGTGATGTTACCCGAACAGTATTCTAGTTCCTCTGCAACCCTACGCATTGGCTCCATCAGCTGTTGAGATAAATAGGTAAGACTCAAGTTGACACATTTAAAATTCCAGAGGTTGCAATCATTTGCAGTGATTGTAAGTGATTGCAACCCCTGGCATTTGGAAGATGAAGTCAACAGATCTTGTTCTGGGTATACCTTATTAAAGTGACTCTATTTGATTTATTTATTGTTAAGTTCTGTAATAAAACCATCCATTTTCAAACAAAGTTTAAAGAAAGACTCAAAACACTGTATTCCTACTTCTGTATTAATCATACAAGTTAAGAATTTGGGGTTTTTTTGCTGAATTTCAGAAGTGAAGGACAAAATAAACATTTGATACACATTAGTATCTTCCTTTAGAATTGTCAGTTACAACAAAAATGAAAATGTGTGTGAAACTAAAACTGACAGGAAATTTTGAATGAAATGTTCAGGGAATCAAATTTTTGGATGGACTCGATTCATGATTTATTTTTATTCCAATTAGAAAAAACTGGAGTAAATCTATGCCAAAGACCTTTTAAATGACAATAATAAATCAGTTATACTGTATATTGTTGTAGGACAATAACTCCATAACTACCTAATAAATAGTGATAGGAAAATTACCTGTGGAATGTTGAATGGTTTCACAATAGACTGTATTTTGTACAGTGTATCATTGGCATGTGTCACTGCATCTCTCGCCATTTTGATATTCTAAACAAACATAAAAATGATAAAACATAAAATCTCCAATGATACAAACTGGAAATTTAACACTACCTCACAGCAGGATTCTGGTACATCTTTTTTCTTTCTCATCCATAAACGGGGCTTCATAGATATACTTGCTTATCATACTTGTTCTATCATGTAGCTAAGACACCTATGTGTTGCATTTAATTAATCTCAACATCAAAAGAATCTGATTACTGAAACTCTCTACATAGATCTGAAGATTTGTAAAAACCAATTCAATACAACATTTCAGATCTTTTCTCCCTTACTGGTTATCAAAATGTGAAAATATGACTTGAACATTTAGCACTGTTAATGGTTGTAATGTCGATCCTGGCAGAAACAACCCACTGTGAAAGAGGAATGAAAAAACAACTGATGTTTACATTAGTTGTAGAAATGAACATAAGATGTAATGTCAGAACTTCCAACACTGCTATAGATATCAGTATCTTTATAGTATTGAAAAAGTATTTATCATGAAATAGCTATTTTATATAACAATATGAAGGTATTTATCAGTATGAAGCTATTTATTATGAAATAGCTATTTTATATAACAATATGAAGGTATTTATCAGTATGAAGCTATTTATTATGAAATAGCTATTTTATATAACAGTATGAAGGTATTTATCAGCATGAAGCTATTTATTATGAAATAGCTATTTTATATAACAATATGAAGGTATTTATCAGTATGAAGCTATTTATTATGAAATAGCTATTTTATATAACAATATGAAGGTATTTATCAGCATGAAGCTATTTATTATGAAATAGCTATTTTATATAACAATATGAAGGTATTTATCAGTATGAAGCTATTTATTATGAAATAGCTATTTTATATAACAGTATGAAGGTATTTATCAGCATGAAGCTATTTATTATGAAATAGCTATTTTATATAACAATATGAAGGTATTTATCAGTATGAAGCTATTTATTATGAAATAGCTATTTTATATAACAATATGAAGGTATTATAAATAAGAAGCTAGTTACGTCCGAAAACATGTTTGGCTCCGTGGATCCCAGCGGACAGTCAATATAGGCTTTCAAAATGGCTGTAAACAAGGAGAAACTAAATGAATTTGATAACATCATAAATTATGATAGACTGCTGTTATATTTTACACGTTATCAATAAATTACATAATATCAGAGCAAGGTTGAATTTTAACAGACTGTTTTGTTGAGGAATTACAACAACACTAAGGATGACTTATATTTACAACATACCAGTAGATAAGACTGCTATAAGAAAAGCTTGACATAAACAGATAATTTGTAATAAACAGTAGTTAATTCAAGTAGATGAAAACAACACCCTACCTCTGTCTACTTTCTGTGAAGTTACATTCTCCACAAACAAATCAGGGTTATAGCAGAGGTCAGCACCAGCCTGTCAAAGTGAAAATTCAACATCAAAGAAGTGTAGAATTAATATCAAATCAGAGCAAATTCAGTGTAAATTGTAGTAAATTTAGTGTAAAATCATAGTAAATTCAGAATAAAACTCTTGCTACACCAGAGAAGAATTTCACTAAGTAAATCAAATATTCAACAGTATAATCCACTGTCTATTGTATGGTTTTACACATACTATTACTGACTAAAGCCCCCATACAGGAACACTAACAGAATAAAATGTGTTCATGGAGTTAAGAACAAAATGGATCCATACCATTTTGATGCCTCTTCTATTTGGACAAGGAGCTTCAGGAATTTTGTTGGCATTTACACAGAATACACTTAGATGACTATGTATGATAACAAGCTGATTACTATAGGGCTACCTCATCTCAATGTGGGACCCTTATTATCTCATACGAACAGAAGGAGTTAAGTTTTTCATGTGATTGATGTTGATTAAGGATGTATGATATGTTTTCTTTAACAATTATGTTCAAATCTTGTAGTGTGCATTATGAAATTAGAACAAAGAAGTAAAATACAAAATTCACACATTGGCAGTATTTTCTATATTAATGAAAAAAATATTATAAGATATGTTTAATGCAAGAAGTGCTAAAATAGGATCACGGCAAAAATATGTACTTTTTTAGAAGGCTTCCCATTGATTTCATTTTTTTTTCATTAATCAGGCCTAATTTATTTTTCTCCAAAACAGACTTTTCATTCTATAAAGTGAAATGTTTTCATTGAATTATTCACCTTCTAAAAACAGTGTTTTTTTTAATTTACAGACATGCTTTAAACAGAAATCACTGGCTACTGACATGCTTCATACAGTAAATACTGGCTATTTCAAGCCATACTGCTTACTTACCACAGCACCACCTAAATAGAAACCAGCTGACCCCCAAATCACAAGCAAAGTAAGGAACCCAATGAATATGGAACTGAAAGGAAAAAACAGATGATAGTAATGTTGTTGATCGTGCCTTTGTGACATCATATTAGCAGGATATCATTCACTAAGAAAAGTCTTGATAAAAACAGGATATTCAAGAGATGTGATAAGGAATTATTTATATAGAATGTCTTTGACCCAAAAGTAATGGTTCTAGTGTAATACTGTTGACACTGAGAAGGACAAAACCATTTGCTACCATATCAACATCACAATAAACCGGTCTTCGATAATTCTGTCTTAATGCACATTACATACTTTGAAATAATATTTGTGAGACTGCCATACTTACAACATGACAATACACTTTGATTTCTGCCATGTTGCTATCAGAATCAGCAATAAAACTCCAAGTGTGAAGCATAGTGCTATTACAGTTCCAATCCATCTGAAAAAGCAACAAATAAGCTAAGAAATAGGCATACTCAGACTACAGGTCACAAAACTGTGCTGTGTGTCATAAATACTTTCTGAAGCACATCTACAGTGGATTAACAAATCATTTTAGGGAGTAAAAGAAAAGTGTACATTCAATTCTTATGAATTTTAATGAGTGATACACAGTTATTACACATTAAAGGAAAGAATTGTAGTTAATGAAAGTTCTATCCTAACAATCTTATGCCTAAAGTGAGTACCACATTCATTTGGCATTGATATTTGGTAACAAGCTCATCTGTAGCCATCGCTGTTCAGTATAAAAACAGATACATTGAATCCCCTCCATCCAATGAAGTGTCAGGAAAAAAATGGTAAAAATCCTGCAATCCCAACAAATAATGATTTTAAAGAATCTTTTAAATTTCTCCTACTGGGCCACACCATGTTGGCATCAACCCTACTGTAAATGCGATTTCATTTTCTATCAAGAATCCCACCTCTGAGTAAGTATTTCTTATGGTACTCTGGGCTTATTGCAAAATATATAAAGTATCTATACACAGAATGCTCTATGCTTGTGATGGTGTATTATTCAAGCCAACTTCACGTTGTTGTTCCACTGAAATTTCATAAGAAGCATCCTGTCTGACATCCCTTTGTTATATTAGCACTGACCTACCACTTAATGAGTGCTTCCAAATGTTTAATATAAAGCAGGAAAAACTATGATGTCTAAATATTTTGTTAAGTACTAGTCTGAGCAAAACGTGTGTCCTTCCCTCACTTATCAAAATTTCCAATTTATGATGACAATAGGCATATGTACCAGGTATATAGTTGTTAAGATTGGAATAATCTTAGGTTTAATTTTCATAAGGCTTACAATCAATAAATCAATATTGATAAATATTTACATTTACGTTAATAATGAAAACATTTTTGTCTACATTAAAACATTTATCAATCAAAGTACTGAAAGTACTGGTATGCTAAGACCATTAAAACAATAAATTCTTTGTTATTAGCTTGCTATATACTGAAAAAAACTATATGCAAGCAGTACATCATTGCAGCCCATAAAAAATGACCAGCAGGTATCAGAAATAACAAGCATAGTAGTATTACTTATGTAATAAATGTCCCAAGTAGGCTCCAAGATGATAAGGAAGTTGTCCATTTCTTTGGATACATTGCAGGGAATGTTGATCTTGGACACCATATTATCACTTTAAAGACTGCGTATCTTATTGGTTTAAGATCATTAGTTAGACCATCATGCAAATAACATGCTACATACAAATATTGGGCAGCTTCATTTTCCAGATTGTTTGTAAATGACTGCATAAGAGTGCCAATTTTCCAAAACAAACATGATTTGTCACCATAACTTAAAATAGAAGATGCCTATTCTTCTGGAACACCTGGTCTTATTCTCCTTGTACTTTTTCAGGGAATCTTCAAGTAGATATTGTCTTTGTTTCAATTTCACACTTGTTTTGCTGGTTCTACAATTCTGTTGACATGTTTATATATTCTTTGTTCTCTAAAACTTGTCGCAAGATATTTTATTCCTCTTGTATTATCATTTTTTAACATCCTTACAGTGACCTTGAACCTTGAAATTTGCAAGATGTGAATATCTTTCAGGTTGTGAAATTTGAAAGAAGAATGAGGGTAATGCAAAGGAAAACACACCCATGCAACTATCCGTTTTTTGACTGTGACCTTGATCTCAGACATCTGACCCTGAATTTCTTAAGAAACCGAATTCTCATAAGGGATACATGTTCCAAATTTGATTAAGGTATACTAACTGTTTTAGTCTCAATGCGCTTACAAGGTAATCATATTGTACTTATGCAAGTACTGTGACCTCTATATTCAATCCTCAAAATCATTACTATATCCTCTCCACATTGCCCAGGGATAACTGAAACTGTAATCCAAATGATAACTAATACCCCCAACACCCACAGCCTTAGTTATCTCCCCATGGTGACCCTTTGCACAGAAACATCCTCTGAAACACAGCGGCTTGTGCACATATTCCCTGACATTCCTGCGAAGTTTTGTTGAAATTGGTCCACAGGTTTGGAAGTTGACCAACATGCAAAACCTGTCTATATTGACCAGTTGCCAAGGCAATCAATATTTCGAGAGAAAATGGTGCATGCACATCTACACATTGTCCCGAATATTACTGTAAAGTTTCATTGGAGTTGTCCAGACAAGATGTGTCTACAGACAGACAAACAGATGGATGGACGGATAGACAACCTGATTCCAGTTTACCCACCTTTTGGTGGTATAAGAGTGCTTACAAATTCCATGTGGACAGACATCATTGAAAAATAATAATAATAATAAAAACATGATACAGATGCTTATATCTTGTTTTATTCAGTTTTTAGATACAGTATTCTTTCCATGCTTTAATCAGCAATTTAATCTTGTCATGTCAATATCCTAGTACAAGATTGCATACACAAAATTGTTGTAGGTAGACTTTTAAGATGAATAAAAAAAAATACATGCCTAAGTTTAAATGAAGGTTTTAAACAGAAGTCGTAATATGTTCAGTATACAGTGATTTTTCTAGACAATTGTAAACTATAAACTCGGTATACAGCGATCTTTTCTACACATTTGTAAACAACAAACTCAGTATGCGGTGATCTTTTCTACAAAAAGTTTTTTTTATATATATTGTATACACTAAACTCCGAAAAAAAATAAATAAGTAAACCTTTCTATGTACACTACAAACTCAGTATACAGTGATCCTTTCTACACAAACTTGATATAACTAGTGAATCTTTCTACACAAATAAATTGAAGATTGTACACAAATTTACTACAAATGCAGTATACAAAGATCTTTTCCACATTTTTTTAGTTTCCACGATTTGTTGATTCTTCTTTTGTGATGGTAAATATACTGCCGCCTTTAGAGAGTACTGTGATCTTAAAAGGCAACATGGTTGTTAGCATCTCCTCAAGTGAATAATCATCTTCAACATCTAATTGGAGGCCGGAAAGAAGGACGTTTTTCTCCACCATATGGCCCTCAAATCCATTGTTGGTCATAATGGCCAATTCCAAGTTAGAAGAATCAATAGAGATACCTTCTACCATTCCAGATTTCACTTCTTCAGGGACATCCACCTGCTGAAAGAGAGTAAGGGAAAAAAATAACTATATTTCATTATTGCTATGATTATGTGCAAGAAATATACACTTCTGTATAAGCTTATAGTCTTGAACTTCCCAATAGGAGTCTATATTAAATATACTGTAATAACTTATTTTGACGTTCAGGACTGTCAAATTATTAAGCGAGGACAGCTAGCAAAATAATAATATCTCGACCATGGTCATACAGAGATTGAATCATAAAGTTAAAATATGTGCAGTATGGTAATTTATTTTGACGTTTGTATTTCAAAAATCATTTTGACTTGAAAAGTAATGTGTAATTTAATTAATCATATTGGACCGTCATGTAATGGTAATCTAATTATTTTGAAAATACCTGTAATGGCAATGCCATTTTCATAACATAATTTAAATTTAATTAATTACATCATCATGTAATTGAACCCATGCCTGTTACAAACAGTAGCTGTCCTAACTGATCCTAAAATTAACTTTGGCTACTTCTATCACAAAATTAACTTTGGCTATGTCTATTACAAATGCCACATTTAGCTACAGTAGAGGTATTTCAAAAATGTATGTCATTGTAGCTGAAAGGACATAATTAATGGTTACTTAACCAGAACTACAGTTCTGAACAAACCACTACAAAGCCTGGTTAACTGTACTAAGAAAATGTCCTCTCAATTAATCAATTTCATTAATTATTGACATCTTATTGTTGTACTTACAGTCACTTGAGTTTCTTAAAGTTTCAATTTGACTTTTAATAAGGCCCAAAGTGATAATACTGCAATGTCTTAATTAGCTCTCGAGGGGTATTGGTTAGACTATTTATCCCATTTCATTCCATTCACCATAGAAACAAAACTCTAAAACGCTAAAAAACAGTTGACAATTAATGACAAATATTGAGTCTAGGGCTGTGTAAAATTGATGAATCAAAAGTGTTGAACTGAAAGTGGATGCAGTTGACATAATACTGAAATTTCTGAGATGAACAAATACAGTACATATATTAAAAGTTCAGGCATAATAAGAATTGTACCAATTACACTTTACACATTCACACTGGGACCTTACACTTTACACATTCACACTGGGACCTTACACTTTACACATTCACACTGGGATCTAACACTTTGCTAGGTTTATCCTAATCTTTATTAAAACACCTTCCGGGATTCAGATGTTAACTGACATCTTCATTATTCCCAATCTTTATATTGCAATCATTCACATGCATCACTCTTCAACAGAATCAATGAGACATCATGTCAGAAAGACAAAAATTAAATTTAAGCTAAAACTATATATATTAACTTCACATGTAAACCTTACAATTGGAATAGCTGTAGAGTTCCCATACAATTTCATACCCTGGCCTTGGGGTACTTATAAATTATCTCCAATCAAAAGTTTGAAAGAGCTAGATCTACAATAGCATGGACAGTGACCGATATTTTAAAGTAAAATTGATATATTACACAGATAGATTCCTAGATCTATTCACGGTAGTGTAAGTAGTACAGTACAATGTTTTTTTCTGTTTAATTTCCGATCTGTTGGGCCACTGACAGAAGTGACTGCAATGAGACCATTATGAAACGATCATTCAAAAATAAATCCATTTCAAAATACTGAAATACTTTACGGAAGCAACAAAAATGTGCTAGATGCTTACGTAACATTTTTCAAATGCATACTGCTTCTAAGGAAAAGTCGAGCATAAATTCAATACATGCGATGGCTAATTTCAAATGACTTGTTGCAAAAAATGCAATTGCTAATTCAGTATAAGTATTGACATTAAATTCAGCTTATATATATATATATAGTGATACTTACCTACATAAGTTACCCGCCATCTTCTTTCAGCCGCCGTCTTCTTTCCGGGGCAGCACCGAGCACCCCGGCTGTTTCCGTCAAAATTTTATGCTACTCTAAATCATTCTTATTTTAGTTTCATTCTTATTTTCAACTACATATTTCAGTATTTTCAAAAGTTTTCAACAGTATTAAACGGGATGAAAATTTTCGAAAAAGGAAAAAAAAGAAAGATATGACACCCACAATGCATTGCGCGGAAAAGAAAGTTCAGCCGCCATATTGGCATCGCCTCCCAAAATTTACCACCATAAAATGTGAGTCTTTGTCATTGTATTTACAAATTTCGATGTCTGATTATCATTAATACACAACACAGAACCTTTTCTTGATGTACAAGTAATGAAGAAAATGTTGATAAGGTTGTTTCATTTAATGACTAGCATCAGCAACTTGTAGGGGCAATAATCCAATGCTTACGGTAATGTCCAGCAGATGGAGTAGGAGTAAACTTTCGATTTATGAACCAATGAAAACGAAGTACTGATACTCAGGGCCAGGGGCGACAGCAACATGCTGAAGAGCATTGAAAATGCTCTTAGCATAAAAAAAGCTCACATTGAATGGTATATTTTTAATTTGTCAAATTTTAAAAATTTCCTGTTTTTTTAAAGTGAAACTAAACTGACCTGTAAAATTCATAGCTGGTTGTATCCTGTACTATGTAATCCAGGGTTATATTTGGTGTGGCTTGCCTGATTGCAGTCACATCAGCTCTTGCCTTCCTTGCAGCTTCAATGATATCATTTGTGAGTGCATCCAGTGGTGTCCTGACCGACTCATTTGTGTACCGACGAATGACATTTTCGAGTGCAAGCACACTTCTCTCCGAGATGCTGTTGGCCAGATCTCTCAGCGAGCTTAACTGTAATACAAGAGCCAATTCAGTCTTGACTATTCATAATACAGAAATTATTTCAAACTTCTCTTCAGTAAAAACCAACAGTCACAATGGCCATGTATTGCTCACCTCTGCCAAACTTACTTTATCCAAACTGGAGGAAAAAAATCTTAAATGTTTATATCTATCTCCCCTAATGGGTCCTGCATCTCTACTCATTGAGGGTCTAATCAAATATTAGCACATAATTGAATCCCCTCCATCCAATGAAGCGTCGGGGGAAAAAATGGTAAAAATCCTGCAATCCCAACAAAAAAATGACTTTAAAGAATCTTTTAAATTTCTCCTATTGGGCTACACCTTTCTGTCCATGGTGGCATCAACCCTACTGTATAAAAATTGAGTCCCTTTCCTCTTAGAAAACTTCTGATCATATTTGGTCAAAATATCTTCATCACAACAAAATAAAGAAAAATTTCAAAGCATTAAGTCCATCATTTATAAAGTAATTTGATCCCCTTCTCCCTCTGATACTTCAGTTAATTTGTTGGTGGCATGTAACTTATCAGTCGTTAGGAACAGGTGAACTAAAAGACAGTGACTATAATAAGGTGTGTAACACAATGACTAAACACGGTGTTTACTTGGGTTGACCGAAACGTTTATTTCATCGTATAGTGGTTTTCCATAGTTAGTACTTCGCGTTAATATCCATTACAAAAGATAGTTCCTAATCAACATACAGCAGCATGTAGTGGCACCAAAAATGACCATCTGTGTAAGGCAGACAAAAACTAAACACCTGCCCGTCCATATCAAAGAGTTCCATACAAATGTCCATGGGCCAACTTGGCCAGGACCCGCTCCATCGCAGAGCAGGTCCCATACGGGACTCTGCCCGTCTCCACGTCCGACTCCCAACTCTCTCTAGCTACTCGACCCTAGACTCAACTAGCTTCTGCTGGCTATTGTCTTTGTATAAATAATACCCAAATACTTAATTTAAGCCTAGTCTTAATTGGATAACAATAACCCAGCCCCCGGAGCATCTAATTATGAAGGCACGTGCGACTAGGAGTACCCGTTATCAACTTCCCATCTTTGATCTACCTTATACAATGTTTCTTATCTTGTTTAATTAAAAATATGTTCGCCAGCGCGAGGCATACAAAAGAGAGCATCCATCTGTCCTGATCAATCATACTGGCGATATTCTGCCACAGTGCTTCACCACTTGGGTACACACCCCGCCTGTTATCAGGTGTGCATCACTACCTATCACTCACAGGATCTTTACCTCGGTCCAGCATTGACTGACTTTTGACCTGATGTACTTTAAACTAAGATGTTGCTCTCTACGATACACAACATTCCAAAGTTACCATTAAACCCATTTTTTACTCATTTTGTTACAGGTGTCACAATGGTCTCCCACTCATCCTTTCACCTTGACGATCTGATTCCCTGATCAGGGTTACCTTCCCAACCAGTTTACCTGGGTACTTTAGTTTCTTGCATGTTTCAATCTGACTAAACAAGGGTGACTTAACCTAAGAAGCTATGTTAAACTTGTTTCACAACTGCTGTTAAATGGAAAATTTTACAACTTACCGTGTTCACTGCTTCAGTTATTGTTTGGTTTGTATCCTGTACAGATTCTACAAATCTGCCTACACCTTTACTTGTTTGTTCATTACCATAGAAACCTGGCGTTAAAATACCTCTGTAGAAATGAAAAAAAATCTTTTTCTTTTACATATACCATATGAAATTATAAATCAAACTTCATGTACATAAGTATGTATATTTCATTTTAGGTTCAGTGTTATTTTTAAGAATGCTGAATTGTATTTATTCTTTTGTGGAAATGTATGTATGGAATTATCAATTTTCTGATTCAAAAAATCTGAAAACAGCCCATCAATCAGCTGATGACTTTTATTTCTGATTTAAACAAACATCATGGAGGCATGCAATTCTTCAATAAGGAGCCATTTAATAGAACACAAAATATCAGAGCCCTCATAAGATGCATGAGTGATAATGATCTATAAATGAAACATCAACATAAAGAACTCCAAAACACTTCATTTCTTATTTTCAAAATAAATGATGATCAGGTAGTACAGTTTTAATGCACCTAGTTGATTGGGGTTTGATTCCCGACCAGTTATAATATGGTAATTATGGTGTCACTTGCCTCACCTTCTAATGAAAGACAGTGATCAATGTTAATTGACATAACATTTCTCATGTTTGTTATACAATGTTCTTAACTATTTAACACTGACAATATAAAGCAGCAACACTTACATGGACAGGAAGATGATGATGAAGAGCGATACCCTGAGACATGTTGATTTGTCTGTTTTTTGTGGTGGCTTTCTGATGCATTGAAGACATAGGCAACAGGATGTCAATAGTAGAAATATAACACACCATATCACAGGCAGAGAACAAAGGAAAAATATGGCCTGAAAAATAAAATAGCATATTCTTTATAATTTTACTTTAAAATCTTTATGATCATCTCATATTTGGAGTAAAAATATAGAAGATGGATATCTGAGCTACCACTTTGATGGAAATAGATGCTAGTGTTTGAAATATACATTCTGGTGAAGTCTGTGATATTGTTATAAATGATTTTATGTTGATGTTTTAGTGTATTAATCTTCACAAGAAATTTGCATTCAAAGCTGTTGCAGAACAAGCAAATTTGATTCAATTATTACAGGCCAAAAAGTAAGCCATTCTTTCATATAGACTGATGAGAAATTGAGAAAATATGTCCAGGCCAGGAATTTGATTCCCTGAACAGACATAAAATGTAGGGCGTCAATGGTCACTGAGTCAATCACATGACTGAGCTTTCACTATTAAAGTCTATAAGATTTGTATGAATGATTGACTAAAAGTGGTGATTTTTATTGAAATACTTAGCTTTCACTCCATCTAGTTTCTTAACGCTTTTGGAAAAATTATATGGGGGAAACAACAACAGTATATAGGAAACTTATCACCATACATACTTACAAGTTTACAAAGTTACAAATGGTGGTTTGTCACCGAACGAGGTGGTATATAATTGTAATATATCAAGATTTACACATATGATTAAACCATTCAATATCCCTCTAACACACAATCTTACTTCCCCATCTAAATCTAACCTAGACCAGTCCCTCTCGTTTTTAACTTGCAGTAAGAATACAAATTTGTAACTATGGTGAATAAATGTAAATGTGAATAACCCCCCAACCTATCATTGATCACATTATTCGGAAACAAAAACTATAAATAACACAGATAAAACAATGGCGTTTCTTTCAAAATTTTTACCGTCGATCGTGAAACAAAAAAGTACCAGAGAAGACGAAAATTAACAGAAAAATATATGTTGGTTTACCTCTCTGTAACTGATACTGTCTGGATTGAATGTAGAGTTTGTTGTTTTGAATGAAAAATTCACATGAGGAAACTGGTGAAGAATGTCGACAAACCATTCTCTTATGTACGTTTCTGAGTCAGTAACTTCTAATTCAGACATCATTACAAGTTTATCATATTACACATAAATATATAATTCTTAATAAATCAGTCCCGCCGATCATATAACTCCTTTGTGATGACTCTTCATTAACTTCTATGTTTTCAGACGACTGACAAAACTCTGTCCTCCATTTTGTAATCACGTGACAGATATCATTTCCTTTGGTGCGCGTGGTGAAAACAAAAAATGTAAACAAAATACTTTTGGCTGCAGTTTTAAAGAAAAAATATTGCATGAGTTTTAGCAGTTTTCTCATATAAAAGAGCTCTTAAAAGTAAACGTAGCAAAGTAGTGTTTGTTGATGCAAGTGCTAAGGCAACCCATGACAGCCTACGGAGGGCAAGCCCGTCTATCGCGTGAGTCATGCGTGACGTCAGTGGGTTTCCCTCTTTAGAACACTGGCGCATCCGTTTGCAACAGAGCCGTCGAGGTCACCCGCTATTTGGCAATATTTTACTATTTTGAAGCGGGATTTGCACAATCGCATCCACTAATTGATTTCAATAGGTATTCAACAACACCATCGTCAGATTTGGAGACGATCTGAGGTCAACTCGCTGGTTGTGCGGCGAAAAACTGAAACCAGGAAAGAACCTGCTGCTCGTGTCGGTTCGGATGACTTGGGACATCACGTCTGACGTTTAGGATGCCAGGTAAGAAAAGTACTGGGGCTGCACGCTCGAATTACTCTAGTTTGCAACTATCATTTAGCATAGGCGTCTTAGCATTCTCAAAAGTTGCACAAATTCCTGTTTCATTATTGCAAAAGGAGACGAGACTTTGGCCACGAGATGAATGAGGATCAGCATTTTTTTAGGTCAGGATCACTGACCCACTCAGTGTGTGTATGGCGTATGCGCACACCCTGTCTTATGTGCACCGTCAATGAACAAGATAGTAACACGTTTATAACAAAAGAAAACTTTCATAATACATATTACTCTAATCACTTTCTCAAATAAAGGATTTCTTTGCCGTGTGAACATAAATTTTACAAACAAAATACTGTGCAAACTGTTCCTGTATAACTTCCTATTTCAGTAATACTTTTTACTGCCAATGAACAAATAAATTCTTGCTTTTCCTTTTATGTGTACAAATATACATATTTTTGTACTTGGTCCTTTTAATGCAATTGATAGCAGTTGTAGTGTAGGTAGGAATGAACTAAGCTTTGTCCACATTTAAACTAAAGCTATCATAAATTATAAAGTTCAACTGATATAGGTCATGTACATAAAAGTATATATTTTGATCGCGGAGACTATAAATTTTGACAAAATTTGATCGAAAAGATAGTTCAGCATGTTAATATTTATATAAATAGTTATCTGTTGATTGTTTTATACACCATATATTACTGTATAATATCACTTGTCAAGATAGATTGAATATCAGATTGTCTCCCAGGGTTTTTTCTGTATATGTTGTAATATTGTAATGATACTGTGTGATTTATTGTATCATAAATTCATATTAGTACCTTTTTAATGATTCATTATTCAGCAATGTTGGACCTAGATATGTATTCAAGATAATATGTACTTTTCTTCAATTCTTAACTACCAATAAAAAATTAAGATGTTATTTATTCTTTAAAATTTGAAATGAAGCAGGATTTCTTTAGTCACAGGTTGTCATGATTGTCGCTCATTTTTAACACAGATTATATTGTTTTGTCAGTCTATCACTAGAGATCAATATGTCTAGTCGTGACTCCATCTTCCAATCTCGGTGTGGTCATTGTTTTGTTCACTCTCATGATTCATTAGATGTCTGTTAAAACATAGGATCTCATTCATTCATTTATTCCTTTTGTTTTTGGTCAAACCGCCTTGGCTACATTGCTCTCAAATAAATCCAGTATTTGCTTTGTGGATTGATTGATGTGAGCTGTTTTGTTTGGCATTAAGTGAAATAATTCAAGGTATAGTTTGTCAGAGAAATGGACACCTGTCACTAAACAAGAACTAGGGAAATTGAAATATTTGGGTCATAAATAAAAAATTTATTTTAAAAAAAAGTGCTGTAATTTCAGTTCAAAGTAGACATGTCTTTAATGGTACTTGCCTAGAAACATGAAACATGATTTGATGAAATTATGCCTGAAAGAATTGATATTGTTGAATCAATACATTTGTATTGTTATAAAGATTTTTTTTTAAGTATACATGTGTGAACATAGGATGTCATCTATGCCTTCCAATGTCATTTTGTCAAATATGTCTGTTGCAAACATTATCCTCAATTTTGATGGCTGTGGAATTTAAATCAATAGTTGTTCTATAGACTAAAAAAAATTGAGAGAGATAAAAAAAAACCCTGAATACTCAGTAATATGATTTAAATGTAGACCTTAATGTCATACTTATTGTAGAGTGGGATATAACCCAGTATTTGATAGGCCAAAGATGTCATCCATGTAAAAAAAAAGTCATAGATCATGTGACTGATTGGAACATCATATATGTTTTGTAGTGATAGATCATGTGACTTGAAAAGGATATCATATAAATGTTATAGAGTGGGATGTCATGTGACTAACCAAATACATATAATATAGTCCTGGATCATGTGACTCGATGCAGATATCATAAAAGTTGTGTTGAAATAGATCATGTGACCTCCATGGAAAAAAAAAATATATATATATGTGATTGTGTGATGTCATGTTACTGGCAAAAGATGTCATAAATGTTGTGTTGTGATAGATCATGTGACTGGCAGGAGATGTCATATGTGTTTCATAATGGGATGTCATGTGACTGGCTGAAAATGTCATACAAGCTGTGTTGTGATAGATCATGTCATTGGCAGTGGAATGTCATGTGATTGGCCAAGGATGTCATACAATTTAAATGTATTATGAAAGATCTTGTGACTGGTGGAAGAAATCATACAATTTGTAAATTGGGGAAGTTATGTGATAGGATTGAGATGCTTTAGTGTTTGGATGGAGATCATGTGACTGTCCACGGATGGTGTATAATGGGTAAACATGTGGCTGGCAAGGGATGTCATGTGTATATTCAGTTGTCATGTGACTATATGGCCTTCATGCCATGCATAGTGTGTAGCGAGAGATCATGTAGCTAGCTAGGGATGTCATACATTTTTCATGTCATAAGTTTGGGAGGTGTTGTCATGTACAGTATATATTTGGAGATCATGTGACTGACTTGGAATGTGCATTTTGGGAGTCCTTATGACTGGCAATGATGATAAGCAAGTTGTACAGATGGAAGTCATATAACTATGATCCAGGGGAAGAAGCAAGTAATACAAAGTGAGGTTGTGTGACTTAACCCAAATAGGGAAAGTAATACCTGTACAACGTGAGGTCATGTGACTGGTCCAGGAAAGTCTAAATATGGTCACACAGTGAGGTTATACAATTCTGGGGATTGTGTAAAGTTAACAATGATATTTGTCTGTCAAACAAATAAAAAATATTGATATTTAACAGTGAAAATCCATCAAAGATAAAGTTTCTTAAAAAGAAAAAAAAATGCCATGAGAAGAAGTGTGACATCAATCAATCCATAACATACAACTCTCCTCAAATCACTCACTCTTGATTTTTCAACTTTGTATGCATACCAGCATCACCAGTGACACACATATGATTTGTGCATGTAGAAAAAAGTATGAGATCTCAACATAGTTAGGTATAGGAACTTCAAATGAAAATGGCAAAAAGGATTCTTGTTGACAAGTGCTGGAAAAATAAACAGAACAACATGACAGAAATATGGGATGTGTTTATCAAGGAAGGTAATATTAGTTAATTGGGAATTTGACTTTGAACTGTAGCTTAGCAATATTGTTATTAAATATTGCTTACTAGACCTCCTTATGAAATGTTATTTGTGTCTGATGTGATAAGTTTGAGACCATGGCAGAAAACAGTAAGAAATAGATGATGATCAATTAATTTAAAGAACTATAAAATTCTGTTTGTGGAGTTATCTTTAATAAAATTTAACTGTAGTGAAACATAACTAGTAAAAATGTTTTTAAAAAAGTATGTGTGTGGGGGAGGTGGGGAGCGGGATTGCCATTCAGACGGATGAATTTTAGGTTGCTTGTCCACCAGGCAATTTTACAGCAGACTGTAGGAGTCTAGATAAATGCAAACCTTCATTAAAAACAGGAAGTCTACCTACAACAATTCAGAATGCTTATGACCTAAGATCTAGGCTATCAACTGAAAACAGAAAAATCTTGTGAAAGCATTTGAAGATTCTTATTTAAAGTGTCGTCTTAAACACTGTTCTGTTAGAATTCTCTCAGTGGTAGCTTCCATGACAACAAGCAAATAAACAAATTTTTGCATATTTGATTTGGAATATTTTATAGCCCGTGTAATATGCAACAGAAACACACTTAATAAAAGCTAACGATTTTTTCAGTGAGATTATAAATGATGCAAATAACTTGTCTTTTATAAAATAAAAAAAAAACAGATAATGAACAGAGGCCATGTGCAACATTTTGGATGAGTTTCATCACAAAAAAAAGAAATGCAGGTCTTTATGTGATGAAATACTCTATTTAGACTTGGAATAGTCTGCTTAATCTCATATTTCCATTTAAACTGATACATATATATGTATGTTAAGTGATTAATTTTCTCTGTATACACAATACACAAAGTTTTTATCTTTTTAAATTATATATATAAACCTGGTAAGTATATGGTTTGCTTGAGAATGTCAAGGGGGAGTAATTAATGGAGTAAAACGGGAGGTCATACAACTGCCATATGTAAATAAAAATACATACTGAAGTTCATTAGAGAAGATCAGAGTGACACAGGTGATGATTCATGGTGAGTGCTTCAAAGGGAAGAAAATGTATTTTTAGATTTACCTGTGATACAACTTTATCCTACTCATGCAAAATTATTTTTAAGATGCAGAACAAGAAATTATATAATATCCCCTAGCAGTAAGCTGCAGAGGGAATATCATTGTGACTGTTTGGTCGTTCCATGCAGAGCATGTCGTGATCAACGTGATTCCGATGAAACCATTTCATGAGGAATTAGCAAACTTTGCAGGTTCACAAGGAAATAAATCCCATAGATTTTTAGAGACAAGTGTCAAAAATCAAATTACTCAAGTTATATAATAAATTACCTTTCTGTATGGTTTAGAAAATAGCATAACATGGAGAAGAAGAGTTCCTTGGAGTTAAGACAGAGTAATGAGTCATTTTCAGCAATTTTTAGTCTATATATAACAATTACAACAGGCCTTCTATGAAAATTATAATAAAAAGGAAATATGGAGGAGTGATTTTTTTTAGGGGGCCAATGGCTCCTTGTCTGCTCCAGGATTATTCCTGCATTAATAATGAGGAAAGCTGTTGTTTTCCAAATACGATTCTGTCACTGCATGTGATGAAAGAAGATTTTGGGTAACAACACAAATACCAAATCAGCTACTAATCAACTTTCACATCAAATTATAAAAATGAATGTTCAAAAATGATATGTGATGCAAAGGGTGCTCTGCTCCATAATGTGAAGAGTTATTGTGTCAAATTTCATCAACTGAACTCTTTTGAGCTTGTGACTTTGACAAATGAATGGTTAAGTGCCATGTACTGCTGATATACCAATAGTCCTAAAACTTCAGCATGGACAATA